ATATACGCCCAACTAAACTTCCACCAGAAAATACTGCAAGCAAAGGCACCACTGAAAGAATACTTCCAGCTCTCAAGATCTGTAAATGGAAAACCTGTGAAATATACAAAACAGGAAATGAAAACTCATTTGGTAGAAATCATCACAGCCAATGACTTAAGTTCTGTTGCTGACAAACAGCCAGAAGAATTAATGGACATTGCTGAAGAGCAGCCTCCTGAACCAGTTAAGTACATTGATCCTGAAATTCAGAGTGGGAGCTATGCCGACCTCAAAGTTCAGCTTGCAGGTAGAATAGAGGAAGGACACAAGGAAAGGGCAGTAAAGCAATCTAAACTATATTTGGACAAACTTGTCCGAAATCCAGAACTTTTAAAGGACAAAAATGTAAAGCATAAATATGTTGACCAGTCAGGTGTTCCTAAGTGGTACAATGCGCGTATTTTGGAAGTAACTCCATACAACAGTGACAATGCAACCGATGCACAAAAAATATCCAAAACAAAGTTTCGGATTTTATATGAAGAGAGCGAGTTGGAGGAAAATGAGCCAAGCGAAGAAGTATTTCCTTTGTTGATAGACTTAAAACACAATGATTTGATAATTGTAGATAAAATATAAAGTACAAATCTTGTACTATACTATTTTTGGTCACATCCAAATTAGGTCATTAGTAATGTATGCACATTCACTATAAAGGACAATGTTTTCATAAACTTTCAATTGTTATTTGTATTCTGGAATTTTATCACGACAGTTCAATTCAAATTTCTTCATTGCAATCAGATATCTGTCTCTTATACACATCTAGATGTGTATAAGAGACAGGGCAATATTAGCAGACGAAGTAGACCATCAAAAGCAGATGCAGTACAAGAACATGTCTCCAGATTTAGAAATGCTTTAGATTTTGAATTACAGTAGTATTCATAGCTACATCTGGAGTAGAGTAGCCACTCATTATGAACCATTATTTTACATCCAGAATTAATTTCTCGCAGTATAATTTTTCGTCTGTAGTTAGTGGTACAATATTGTATTAATTAATTGTAAATAGCAGATTCATTAAATTATAGTGTACCAAAAACAATATTTTCTGTTGTGTTATTGTTATTTTTAATTCTTTTTAACATCAAGAGCACTAGCTACTCTTTACATAAACATTAAAAAAAAAAAAATTATACTGTAAAGTCATCAGAGTTTAATTTTTGTCTGGAGCTGTTTTAATGAGAATTACGGCAATACTGTATAATGTAACCTGTGTAAACTAATAGTTCATTGTAAATAAAGTTTAAAAAAATTATCAACTTAACTAAAAAACATGTTCTGGTGTTTTATTCGTGAATTAATTAGGATATTTACACAAGTTAAAAAAAATAAAATTGGGTGGCGAGTCAAAAGATATTTAAATGCACAAGAAGTATTGGTGTAACTGAACAAAATAAGAATTTTATTTTTCATTTAATTATGCAAATAATTATTAAATATGAAACCATCTATTGTATTGTATAAAAACTTTACAGGCAATTGAATTTTTTTAAATAATGTTAACGAAGTGTTTATCACTGTACACATTGTCTTAGAAGATAATTTATTCAAAAGTTTTTAGACAAAGTACAGTACTGGGAAAAATCTACAAAGACTCATCCGGGATGTCAGTATCTCGATCGACATTGTGAAAGCCTTCATAGATGCCATTTTCTTCAGGAAAGTGTGACCGAATGCAGGTTACAACGCAGGCAGGAATTACTCGTCTGACCTTTCGACCCAATTTTCCATAAATTTACCAAGTAAAGCTCCTATATGCTGTATATCTGTACAACCTATAAATAAGAATATTTTGTATTATTTTAAACATTGCGATTTTTATAAAAATTGTTATTTTGTCACCCCTACCATCATTTTTATAAGGTAACACAAATTATTTCTTGGGGATTAAATTTTTTTGGGTTCCATTACTTTTTAATCTTGTTTGTAGTGGTACAAATACAGTAAAATTAGTACTACTAGTACTAGGCCTAATACTGTTTTAGGCTACGAAAAATTGATACAACTTTGCAATTATTAAATAATTAGACTTGACTAGTCGGTGTGTACTACTAGGCCTAGCTTAGCAAGCCGTAAATGACGCTCGCTCGACTTACTTAGGTTACCTAAAGAACGAATCGCCCAAGAGTTTCACGAGTCGATCGTCCTAGGTAAATGGGTCGTAAATGCCTACAACTTCTTTTATTGAAGACATGAGGACTTCCGAAACTTCTTTATCCAAACACAGTTTTTTGTAATTGTCTTTTAAAACAATACACGTGTTTACATCGTCCATCTTCCGACAGATATCCACATTCTCCAGGCAACATACACACTCGATCCGGCTAGGCATTATAATGCAGTTTTCACATTGGCACCAGTCCAAATTGTCCGTTCTATCATTGTTTAGACTATTATCTACAGTAATATCATCGTCACTTTCATTTTCTTCACTAGAATATTGTCTTTGTGGTTCAAATAAAAATCCACTTCGGCGTTTATCTGCAGTCATCGCTATACACTTTTTACGGTCTGTTTTCGCGATGGACGTCACAGACTACAGCGCCCTCTTTTGGCCAAATAATATATTTCTTAATTAATTAGTAATAAAAAATAAAAATTAACCAGAGTGATGATAGCCATTATGTTCTACATCATCACTTAACATTAAAATTATGGTAATTTTCGTTTCAGTTCCCCTTTAATTACTTTTTTGCTATTTTTATTTTCTATTTATTTCATTTTTTTCAATGCATAGAACCGAAAACAATTACAATATACGGTAAAAGGATAAAAACTGTCTGAAAAACAATACAATAAATGTTGGTTTCTCATTCCCCACAAGGGCCGGCAGCATAACTAAAAAGTAAAATAAATTACTGTCGAAGTGGAACGCCATACGATGTTAGGAATCGGAGAACAACAAAACAAAGAAAAATGTTAGTTTCTTAATGAGACATTTTCGACGGGCATGCTACACAATTGAACTGCAGAGAGCCTTAATTCAGGGGTAGTCCCAGCGGAAGGAAAAACAACAAATCGTCAGGGAGAATAAATGTAAAGTAACTGAACTTCATTGTACATAGGTTTTTAGATCATCGCAACACATCAGAATGATGTTGCGTTCAATAACATTTACAAAAGGAAGTATAAAACATCAATATAAGAAAAAAAATCTATTAAATACAATGACAAAAACAAAGATATATATATATAT